ACCTGGAGCTGAAACAGGTGTGTCTTCAGCTACAAGATTTGTAAGCTGAATGCTACAACATAAATTTACATAGCACATACTTTGGGTTCTATCACCAAGAAGTGCTGTCGGTCAGCAGTGTTTTTATCAAATTAAGATATAGAAGACAACCACATCAAATAGAAAGTTATTTTTCAAACACTTATTTTCATATCGGTTTTGCTGGTCTCCAACAATATGAAAGACTGTATTAAAGATATTATACAGGTGACCAAGTTACACATCAGGTTTCTATCAACTGTGGTCCCACCAAATGTTGATCATGATTTACTTGTTAATCCAGTATTTTCAGAATCCCATTTTAAACTGAAATGTTAGCCTAACAAAAGGTTTAGAAATATCATTTTTAGAAGGTGACAGATATCAACAAATAGAAGACTGCTTGAAAAATGTTTATGCTTAAATTATAATGAACATTGCACATATCCTTTTCAACTTTCATGCCCTAGTCAACGTATTATAATTGAGCTTTACTGAATTACTTTTCTAGTGGATAAATACTGTACACGCTGTAGTGTGAAGAGACATCATGTAATGTATACTAATTAAGCCATTATATCCGTAGAGAAGATCGTATCTGAAATATCAAATTAGCAGGAATTAAACATCTCAAAGGATTAATGAAATGTTATGGAGCCATTCACTTCCAGGTCAACAGGTTCAATTTCAGCTTAGTTTAATAGTGATAATGAATTTATGTGCTGCAGATAACAGTTCTCTGCATCCACTCATAAATCAGGGTAAGAACCCCTGGCTTGTACCAAGAGCGGACAACTTTAACCAGCACAGCCAGAACAAGGTAGCCAGGAATATTCTGCTAGGCCTGTATTTGGCACATAGCCTTGGGCTGCACGAGATCAAACAGCACATTTACTGGGTGGCTGCAGTACGTGCAGGCAGCAATGAGGGACACCAGAGACAGTCAGTTCTCTTTACAGATCTGCCAACAGTTGCCAACCCCAGCAATGAAGTTATCACAGGCAGAACATTCAAATTCATCTTTCATTTGATCAAGTTTAGAGTCCTCTCTGCTTATCCCGATTCCTCTCTCAGCAGCCCTTGCTGCTTCTAGCACAGACATGTGCAGCACAAGATGGGGTGGGGGCATGGGAAAGGAAGAACTGTAGCCAACTTTTAAGTTATCTTACAACTAATGTGACAGCAAAGACACAACAAACCCTGATTTAGTGGTGGAATCACAAAATTGAGGTTAAACTTTTTTTTGAAACTAAGTAACCACCATGTCAACAGATTTAGGCATCAGCTCCTTAGTGATGATGGGCAGTAAACAGACAATAACCAGTTTATGCATAAGAGAAAGTAGTTAAGAAATAACTGCATCAAGAACAAACAACAGTGTCTCAGTCAAGTATCCATAAAGAGGTACATCCAACTTCTGAAGATAACACACTGAAAGGTGACAAACTGCATAAATGTAACAATCACCCAAAGCCTAGCCCTTCAGTTTGCTATGAGGACTCTGGTTTTAGACACACAGACATCATGCGGTGTGTTAAGGAATGATTCAGAACGCGACAGCTCTAACCCCAGATATGTTCACTGCTCTTCTGCGAAGCTTTGCTAAAATCACTTAGTGAGCTTCAGTATCTCCAATAGAACTGTTAGAAAGTCCACCTATGCAGGTATTAACGGAACAGCTTCACTAGTATTTATGAGGTGCTCCAAGTGATCTAAAAATGCAAGTTATTAATATCAGTCCTTACTGCAGGTGACTAAACCACATTCTGCAATACAGATTAGAAATCTACAGAAGTCCCAGCGTACCCCTGACAGGGAAGTAAGGCTTCTCCTGGTACCTCTATTACCAACACACTTTGTGATCATTCTGCTTCCCTTTCAAAAGCTCCCAAGATCTGGAAAAACAACAAGGACTTTCAGCAGAGAGAGTTCTGATGGCAGTAAAATAGCTTACAACAGACTATTGTAGTGGAAATAGTTTTTCAACCAGGGACATTGAGATACAAACACCACACTGAAAATTAAAAAAAAAAGCTGTGGCAACCTACATAATGTATGAAAAAAGCATCAAGCTAGCAGGATTGTTCTCCTTTAATGACTACAAACAGAATTCAAGAACAAAGAGCGTTGTAACAGCTGTTTGCTTTGCTTTCCTGGCAGTTATGTATTTCAGGTTTAAAAAAAGAAAAAAGAGTAAACATGACAAACCAAAAGTTATAAGGAGACATTTTTATTACAGCACTGCCTTGAATGCACAATCCCTGCCTATCAAATCTCTCAATGCTCCCACTAAAGTAAATGCATTAAGGGATTTAGTGAAATTTGCCCTATATATTTAGTCTTCCAACAGGAAGCTGTGAAGTACCTCATGCAGTACTGGTGATGGAAATGCAGATGCCTTTTTACTGCTCTATCTTACCTTTTTTCACTTTAGCCACTATTCTCCCTCTTGTATGGCACGCATGTTACAAGTGCTGAATTCCTTCAACACCACTTATAGATCTATTTTTCCTGTGACATACTAAGTTGCACAACTGCAATGAAAAGTTTCTACAGTGAAAAGCTTCCGCAGTAAAAAGCTTGCAACCATAGTATTTCCTAAGGCATATATTTTGAAATGATAATTTTTATTAATAATATCTTAATATGTTAGTTTATATATTAATATATATTCATACACATACACATAAAATTTTAAATTATTATATGCTCTTTAATTTAAAAAGTGCCATTTTTGCTGACTTGCCAAACCTTTAGAAAGCAACATTTTTGTAACTTTTCTGTTCAAGAAAGAAAAAAAGAAAATAACAATACAGCCAGATGTAATGTATAGTATTCAGTAACAATTTAAGGACAAAGTGCCCTCCGAAAGGCAGATAAGCACAAGGCATTTTCTGTGTTGGACAGTCAAGAGAAGCAGAAAGAAGAAACTCCTCCCAAAGCACTTGAGAAAAATATTAGGGATAATTCAAGATGTAAAGTAAAAACTGAAATATTCAACTCCCCATTTTGGACTTTAGAATCATAACGTTTTAGTGTAGAGGCCCAAGTCCTGTGTTTGTGTGTCTACTTTATATATATACACACATACGTACGTGTGTGTATACATATGTAAGGTCTGTGAGGACAGAGATATGTTTTATTAGACCAGTATAGTAGGAAAAAGCACATAAGCCCTTTGTTGGTCTAATATAAGTACTGCCTCTCCCTTGAAAGCTTTTCTCTCACATCACCATGATCATGGCTACAAGACCATTTACGTACAAATTAAAAAAAGAAATCTCCCTTGGTAAACTTAAAAATCGCATTCCACTGCAATACTTAAGCCACTTAGACAGTAGAAACAGGAAGCTTGTGTAGTTTCGTACTTCACCTTGAATGCTGTAAGTGCCCTTCAATGTTCTCCTTAGTCCTAACAGACACAAGCATCAAGTTGCATATCAACCAGGAGCCCTGGATAACAAAACAAGCTTTGACACTGGAGCGCGAGGCAGGCAGCAGCGTTGGGGTCTTGGTGTTGCAGTACAAACTATCAGGTCCACAGGGAAATCTAAATGGTGTATTTTTCTGTTTACCTTCAGGTGACAATGCTCAACTGGTTCAACACATCACTGGATGTCTGTTACAAAAACTCCTGTCACTAAGAATAAAAATGGATGGATGAATAATGGTTAGGCTGGACCTTCTGCCTCTTGCCAGGAATACTGAGAAGAGATTTAAAAACAGCTTCTAAGTAATATGCAGCCAATTTAACCTATATAATCAGACCTCCTAGAATCATCAACATTACAGCTACATCAACTTACCTCTGAATAAAGATAAGTTAATTAGTTGCTGGCATTTCTTACAGGACTCTGGTTCGTCAACTGAAGTCAGTAATTACTTTTTTCACAATCTTTTTTTCCAACTATATTCACTGGCAGCACCGAATAGGTTATTTTGTCTTTTTTAAAAAGCTTGCATTCCACTTTAATTGAAGAAGTATGATAAAGTCTGCCCCTCTCCATATATAAAAAAGAATGTTTCAAAATACAAGACATTGCAAAATGTTTTGAATGCCCCCTTCATGTAAAAACCTACCATAGATGAAACAGATTTTTGTTTTAATACAAGTCAGTAACAAAAAGCCTAACAGCCAGTACATATTAACAGATAAAGGAACAGGACTTCCCTTTTTTATTTTCATTCGCTGCTGCCTCTATGTCTTCCTGCAAGACCAACATTTCAATAGTTTCATCAACTGCAAAGCAAGGATAACTCAAACAGTTTCAAATAAAGATTAACATACAGGCTAGACCATCACGAAACGCAGAGTGTTGCCTATATTGTGCATATTGGTCTCCACGGTATAAAAAGTGTGGCTTCAGGGGAACTGGGGCAGGGGAGGGATGCTCAGCATTAGATGGCAGTTTCCTGAGGAGAAGCAACCCAGTGCTACAAACTGGTTCTCATACAGTGGGTTATTTTCAGAAGAAAGACTTGCTTGAAAATTATTTAACTCCTTTTTTTGAAATTGAACTTTGTGCAACCCTTTCAGATTGCTTTGAAGAGAAATGTTGAATCAATCCATACTCTAAAATGCCTTACAAAGAAGAAAAATCCCAGCAGTAAATCCACCTAATTAAGTGGGGGTGTATCTAGCCCATAGGCTATTACCACATCTCAGCTTAATATTTTTAAATGTACTATATGTGGAACAGGCGGTAAGCTCTCCTCATTATTTCTCAAATGAAGCTGAACAGATCTAACCCAAATTATAGCAAGACAAACCAGACAACCTAAGTGATGAAAACTGTACTTTTTCCTCTGCTTTAGGGACACTTTTGGCTCATCTGTCCTCTGATCAAGGTGAGCCTGATAAAGCTGAAAATTACACTGTGTGACTGGATTGTACGAGACTATATTTCCCCTGAGAAGTGATTTATTTTAGAAACTCTTGATGAGTAAGAAACTTTCTGCTCCAACATGCTACTCTTCTGTGTGGGCATGGTTCCTTATTGCTTTGAGTGAGAGATCACATAAAAGAAACATAGAATATGAGTGGATACATCTTCTTTATGGTTCAAAGACAAATTTGCATTATAAGACAGACCTCCAGGAACCATAAGTTTCATAAAAAGATAAAATTATTATCATTAGTTTGTAGGTTTAACTGCAAAAGTTACTGGCATATCTTCCACTTTTTGAGTGTGAGGAAAATCCAGTTTTGGTTTTGAGAGGTCTTGCTTTGCAGAATTTGGGGGTTCTTGATCTTTAGATGATTCCAGAAGATGTTGCATGTTAAGTCTGAAAATGAGGCGAGGATCTGGTCCAGAAAGAGATGGGCAATTGCAGCTCTCTCTTATTTTAAGAGCCTGTGAATACATAGGAAAACAAATCAAGCTCATTCAAATAAGAAAAAACAAGAAAGGTTTCAGTCAGCGATTTGGCCTTCCAGTAAGGTCTGCATTTGCACACAAAGCTTAGTGAGTATAATACTGAGTTCGAGTTGTTACTGAACAACTTTTCAACATAAACCAAGAACTCTTAAGAAGAAATGTAGCAATATGGTAAAACAATGGAAAAAAACTGAAGAATGAAAATAATTTTCTCACAGACAGTCTCTCAAAGAATGAATACTCTAAAAGGTACAGTATACATAGGAAGTTCTCCAACTATTTTGTGATACTTGTTCACATCAGTAATTTGTACCTTTTAATTTACATTCACATGTATGAATGCATTAAGAAAACAAAGTGCTATGAATAATTTACTTCACCAGATACTTTATATAATTGAAGTAAATATATATAGATGTCTGACCCAAAAAAGGAGGGAAAAACCTCCAACAACATAATGGACATTTAACTGTTCGGCACAGAGATCCAGACAGTTGATCAGTATAGTTAAGGTCCAGTTACACAAGTGATCTCATCTCCAAGAAGCATTTGAATACACAGCTTCCAAGTGCTTGGAGAAAACAATTTCTCTAGAAGTTAAAAAATTATCTGGATTAAAAGATAATCACTAAGAGACCAAACTCTAAATTACTCCTCGTCACTGAGTAAGTGCCATTGCTTCCATTCTACAGATTAGAAAGTAGAGGCACACAGAAGCCAAAGAATTTCCCAGAGAATCAAAATCCATTGGCATGGGCACACTCCCCCCAACATCGCTCCTTCTGGGCAATCTGAGAAAGGTACGACAATGGATGACTTTCATGTCTCAAAGGCACTGTGGAGAAATTTACACAAAACAGTATGAAGTCAGCTGTTTTAAAGGATGCTTAAGTTGGTGTTCATTGTAACAAAACTAAACATACTTTAATTTGTTGATAAAAACGGGCAGCTTGTTTTAGAGCTAACAGCTCTAACAACTAAGTCCGATGCAGTACTTCGCAAGTGGTTGTGCACATATCTACTAGTATCCACGGATTCTCCTACAAGATCCATTTAAACTAATCAAAAAAAGCAAGTTCCTGTGTATCATACAGCAAAATATTATATGTAGAATTCTAGAGAGTTCTACATCTCTGCTGGAACTATTTTTAAGATTTGCAAAATGAAACACCAAAAAACCATGACGTCAAAGACTAGTCTGATCTTTAACACTAATCAACGGCCATTGTGGTATGGTCACTTTTATGCAGTATTATCTGTACCTTAGCCTCAATTAACAGTATAAAACTATGAGCAGATTAACATCCAGCTTTATTTTTAATCCTTTCATAGGAAAATAACTTCTCTTCATAACCGTGGAAAAGTAATGGCTAGACCTGGCCTGAGCTGCAGACAGGTGCCTCCTGACCAGTACTAGGGACTGTTAATGGAAAGCGTGTGTTGATTCATTTGTTCTAGATGGATTAAAGAGGAAGAAAAAAGTAACACAGTCTTCATAGCAGTCCTACCACCGCACTTAAAAAACAGAGCAGACATTTAGTGTGGTTTACATACACTAGATTTGGCTGAAATAGCATACCAAATATTCTAGTACACTTGTGCATAAGTATTTGCCCATCATTTTGAAACATTTTATTATTCTTCCACAGGAGACACTGGGAACATCTTACTACAGCAGATTTTAAAACAGAAGAGCAGAGCTTCTTAACTCATCTCTTCATATAAGGAGGCACCAAAACATATTTCTCTCTAACTTTACTACAGTGAACTGATAAAGAGTTTGCTGTAAATGGCTAGACATAAATAGAACTTAAATTTAACAACTGGTTTTGGAAAAAGACACATTCCAGGAATGTAGCAAGAGTTTCTCCAGCTGTTTCTTGCTGAAATGTAACAGTCAAATTACTGGATACAAATCTGGATCAGGCATGCAAATATTCCTCTTGCCTAACTTTTAACAAGTATGAATAAAGTTTTCAGTATTTGTTTTTCTACAATGTGATCATCCATGTAGTCACCAAATGTAACTCTGCTGTTGAACACTCTTCTGCTTCAGTGACCAATTAATTTCTAAACTGACATTTATGACCAACCAAGAGTTTTCTCATGTTCTCTTCCAGAACATAAGCTGCTGCAAGACTGCATTAATGTCAAGCAGCATTATTCAAGGCAAATGGAAATATAAAGATTTAGGCTGTATCCTATCCTGGAAAGCGCAACATAATCCTCTTTTAAACAGATATAGCAATTCTAAATCTCTGGTTTTCGTGGCTATATAGGGTCTTGCCTATTTCCATGGTTTCACTTCTCTAAAATACTAAAGTCACAACAGCAGAGGTAAAAAGCAATACTTCAGAGTTAACACTCTTACCCTCTGGATGTCTTTGTGTTTTTGCTAGACATAAAGCTGTCCAAGGAGGTAGAAGGCATCTATTCAACATCATCAACTCACATGCCATTAAAAAGACTACAGTTATGAGAACGGAAGCTATGCTGCCACATCATCTCACATTAAAGACAGCTACCACTACACACGCTAGTGAAAGGAGTCTTTGTATGTACGTTTGTGACTGCCATGCAACATTCAGCCCTAGTTAGAAGGTATTCTTTCCCTGGATTAGTTGACTGCTGCTGTTTTGTTTTGTGCCAGTAGCTCTCTAAAATCATTAAGATGCCAGTAACAGGCTGAGGAGCTTACAATGTAATTTTTCCTGCAAGATAAAACAGCCCAACATGGTCAGTCATACTGTACTTCCAAAATCACCAGCAACTTCAAATCCGGCCATTTAATGTTGCTCAAGTAAATTGGTTTTTGACAGTTCAGTAACAGGACAAGTAAAAGCATTCATAATGAAGCCCATATTGATATTATACGAAGAACATGTTTCATTGAGTGTTTATACGGAAGAGTGTTCTCAATAAAGACGACAGACAGAACTGATGCAAGGTTAACTAGCTAGAGTGAGTACACAGATTCACCTGGGAACTGAGAGTACTTTAATGCTGTTCTTTTCAAGTTAACCTTAAGAGAGAAGTACTGCTGTTCAGAATAAAGACCACCTGCACGCTTACTGGTTCAGATGATCTCAAATAAAATATCAAAACTATTGCTTGTAAGTAGCACAAGTGAAGCTGTTTTTCTTATTAATACAATTGCAGACACCTCCTGCAATGTGCCGGGAGGGAGGAAGGCGTAAGAATTAGGGATGTCTGCCTCATCCTGTTGCTTTCATATAAAGCTTAACAGAAGACACAAATACAGAAACAAGTAATTTTTAGCTCTCAGAATTAATCCTTTGCTACTGTCACAGATATCAAGCTACCTACTGCATCTCAACCCCTTACAGTCTTTTGAAGTCCATCCTACTTCTGAGGCTGTCAGCTCTCTCAGTATAAAAGTCACATCATTCTCTTGTCCGCAAACCAGGCCAAGGGTTATAGTCTCTTGCGTATTAACTGTGACTACCTTGGCAGGGCTGAATACACTCTGACCTTGCAATTCTGACAAAAACTAACAAATAGCACAAGCACATGGGCGAAAAAAAAAAAAGAAAAACCAAAAATCAGAAACTTTGAGTTGCAAAATTGATTACAATTAGCAGGCATAGGGAAGACAACAGGTTCTACAAATGAAGTAGCAGTAAAAAATGATTAAAAGAATGGACAAATTTGTTACTTGATGGAGAAGAAAAGCAACTGATACATGGATAATACTAATCTTCAAATCTTTCACTATTTCTGTTGGAACAGAAAAGGAAAAAGGTGACAAAATATTTAACAACTTTATGGGGAAGACAGAAACACAGGTCAGTACCTTCTATTCTTATTTTTCTGTAAGTTTGCACATTGACAAAGCTTAATTAATATGTTCTAGGACTATCTGAAGTAATCTTCACATCATAAGCAAAGGGCAAATACACCAACCCATTTCTGAAAAGGAAGCAAAATAAATCTGTCTTCAATATCCCAAAAGGCAGCAGACTGAGGAATAAATAATGACTACACAAACAGTAATAAAAATAATGAACAGCCAAATATAGATTTGACAAGAACAGGTTTTGCCAACGTAAATTAATTAACTTTTTTTTGACAAGTTAATTGACCTAGCAAACAAATAAGAAGCAGTAGAGGTGGCACATTCCAACTTAGTATTACTCTCAAAATGATCTCAATACAGCATCTCCACAAGAAAGACTGTGAAATGGGAGTTACAGTGAATCAAAAATGGAATCCGAGCCAACAACATGATGCCAAAAAAGCAAATGTCACATCAAGATGAATTTTTGTGTCGCAGGCAAGGCTCAATAGATAACCTTCTGCTTTATTCCGTGTAGCTGAGTCTTCAGCTGACATATAGTGCTCTATTTGAACAGCATACTAGGAAAAAGGCAGACAAACTGTAGCGAGCTAGAGAACATTAAAATAAAAGCTTCAGAGATGAACTAGAACATCCTATAGCTTCTCTCTGGCACTACACTTTCAGAATTTTTCTGTCCAGAACAATGGTAAGCATCCTCCCTGCTAGTACAAAATTATTTTAAGATTTCTTTTTCTGAAAATCAAATGCATAGACAGGCCTTCCTGGAGCATCTCGCCACCTTCCATGTAGGGATTCTAGATTTCAGTTTCCTATTTAACAGTATATTCTGCTTTCCTAGTTTACAATCCAAAACTCCCCCAGTCTGAGGAGGAAATATTTCAAAAATATGTTAAATCTTTTTAATTTCCTTTATTTGCTTTCCAGGACAGCACCACTTTGTAACTACTTGTGGCTCCCTTATTTACCAGTTCCTCAGCTTGGCTGCAGCTTCCAACTTGTTCAGAAAACCAGACGCAACATCTTTAAAAGACAAGGAGCAATTCAAATGAGTTTTAATTATGTGAAAAGAGAATCCCTGTGATATCCCTGCTTTAATTTACATTCCCTGAGACTGTTAAGTCACATCACTGAGACATGCCATTTCATTATCTGAAGAAAAATTCTCACTTTATATGATCACAACTTATTGTGAACTTGCTTAGAAGTCTGTAGAGAAACATCTCTGTGGCCTGAGAAGTCCAAACACTTGTCCCTGTTTCCCCCAGATACAGTAGCTGGTCTAATAACTGTTATTAGATTGTCCTGAAAACCATTTCAGCTTCAAAACCATCAGCACATGAAACACAACAATATTCATATCAGTATCTTTAATACAAACCTGTCTATTTCATTCACATCTTTAGAGGAAGAGCAATTTCAACTAAAGTAATATTCAAAGTCAAGTACAAAGGTAAAATCTAGCAGAGATTTTTTTTTTTAAGGATTTAAACCCTTGTTTCTTGCTCGTGATGGTTCTGATACTGAGTCTAAGAAGTACAATTTCTTCACAGAGAGGTACTAGAGAGATTAAAAGGTCCTTTTTGAAATCTGGTTTCTCCCCTTTGGCTCTGAATATCTAATTTATGGTAAACATGCTGTTCTAAAAGACTTTAAGCATGTGAACAACGAAACAAAAAGGCGCCAATATTGAACAACAACAAAGCCCTGGGATTCCTGTTAAATGCCTGAGATCTAGCTCCAAGAAGGCAGCTCTCAGATGAAGGGGAGTCAAAGTTTCAGACAAGAAGCCTCAAGCACCACCTCTAAATACTACAAAAGTGGAATAAAAATGAAAGAAGGTATCAACCTCACTCATCTAGTGAACTTCTATTAAACACAGGAAGCCTTCGGCCCTGTGTTCTCATCCTACTCCAAAGAATGTTTAAGGTAAAAGGCAAATAAAAACATCTCCTCCTCAATTATCTTTTCAAAGAAACTGTCCTAGCCTTCACCACTTTGGGACGCAAGAGCGGCTACAAAAAGATGAAGGTTGCTCCACCTGTTAAATCAGAAGAGATCAGACAGAAATAGCATGGCTGCCAGTGCTACACAGTTGCTCAGTTATTTAACTTCTTGGCTCAGTCCTGAGGTAGAGCATAAGTAATTTATTTCATTACCGCTTTATAAGTCAGCCAATAACTCTATGAAAATAACGGATCCTGAAGCCTTTATGTGCAATCTAACTAAAATTGAGGCTCTAAAACAAGTATAATTTTCCATTCAGCTGTTCTAGTGCGTTAAAAATCCATCAAAACAGTCTCACGATCAGTTTTTGCAAAGTATAGAATTCGTGTATATTAACTCAAAATATTCAGTCTAGCAAGTCTCCAGCCCCCTACGCCTAATGTTGATTTTGATTTATGCTATTATTTAGAATATTTACTGCATTCATTCTCATCCAAGGATTCATGAAATTCTTTTTTTCTCCTTTGAAATCAGCAAACACCTCAGCATTTTCGTACTCCACCTCCCAATAAATCTTCAACTGTCTTTAGAGTTTGGAATTGAGAAAGACTTAGTGACTGAGTGTTTTGGGGAAAAAAAAAAAAAAAAAAAAAGAGGAAGAAGAAATTACCAAATTACCAGCTGGTTATAAGAAAGGGAATCTCCAAACACAGTGTAGCTTGCTGAAAAACAGTGCTGTTGTGAAGTGCTTTAACATTATCCTTGAAAATGAAAAAAACAGGAAATAAACAATCCATACTATTTTTCTGTAGTTAAAAACCCCACTATTTAAAGAAATAGTAAACAAAGATTACTAAACTTGGAACAGTTCTCTGTTCTTAAACTAACAGAGTAGCACATTAAATTAAGAGAATCCCCAAGTAGCGATTCACTTGGCATTCCGCTGAGAGGAAATCTGAAAGGAAGAACAGAGAAAAGACTGCAGATTGATGGGCAATTGCATGAATTCGCTCAAGTTCCTTGGAGTAGGGTAAAATTTGCTCCCTAATGTGACGGAACAGAGATGTGAAGAAAAAAAAGCAGGCTGCAAAATCTACAGAGGCCTGTCATAACTAGAGGTATTAAGAAATCTTCTACTGGGGATCTGACATTCTTCCGAGGCACAGTTATTCGAGGCATATTCAATCTCACGTCAGTGAGAGAGACATGATAGGATAAAGCATTCTCTATTTGACAGCCTAGGGCTAGCTACCAAAGCAAGAGAAGTCAAGATAGTTTAGGCATCCAACGTAAAAACTGGCTTCCAAAATGATAAAAAAAGAGAAAAGAATGGATAAGACCTGTGACACTCTCACATCTATACCAGGAAAGCCACTCAAAAGCAAAAATACTACACTTCAATCAGAAAAGAAACAAAAAAAACCTAGAAGATAATTACATTTTACCTGCACTATCTTCATTTTTCCTCATTTAATAAAATAAAACCTTTAAAGTTGAGAGCTTTGTAATAGAAGATTCTGTAAGAATAAAGAGAAAGATAAGCACGATGCTAAAAGAGTAGATTGTGAATCAATACCAAAGTAGCTCGTGAATCAATACCAAGCTAAGTCTGACAACCTTCCTAAGAGAACGAGAGACACTTCTTTGACTCTGCTTACCTCGGGGATAAGCCGGTCTAAGTGCTCAGCTCTATTTTCATGTGAAGGGTGTGTGGAGAGCCACTCCGGTAACTTGGGCTGCCCTTGAATGATTTCTGCTAATTCCATTTGTTGCCAAAATACGCTGCTTGCTCTTACATCCACACAAGCCTGAAAAAACAAAGGAAATGTCACACCGCTAGATTTTTAAAAGCAATACAACTTACATTCTAATGGATATTGAATACAAGAGACATCTCAAGTTTTAAATTTCCAAAGCCTTTTAGGTGGTCCCCCACCTACCTGACAGGAAAAGGCTGTTCTAAAATATCTGTATGCAGTAAAAACCTCATCCAGATAGACACCGGATTTGTTCCTTTCAACATCTATGTCATTCCACCAATCTTAAAAAACAGATTTGCAGTTTCTGACACGTACTTGTTTTTTAAAACCTCAGCTGCTTATTCTAAGTCATATTTGCTAGACACAATACAGCAGAAGAACAAATTAATAATCTCCACAGATTTAGGCAAATTTACATGAAGAAGTTTAGAGTCACAAATAAAGTGATAATAATTCATACTTAAATAATTCTAAAAATGAACAGCAAAGGCTTTTCTGTAAGTGATTACATTGCCTTTTTCAAAGGAGATCTGTGCAATCCACAACAGGCTAAAACAGTAATTCTGCAGAACTAGGACTCTCCTCTCTCTCTCCGCAGAAGTACACATTTAACCACAGAAACTCATGGAACACTAATTTCAGGAATGGCATCTATATATCACCAACAGACTCCTTTATATTTGCACTTCAGTGGAGCAGAGATAAAGAATAATATTTCTTACATTAATTTTCATTCGTTTAAGAGAGAGAGATGTGTACTCAGAAGGTAAGAAAATTACTTTTTTTTTCTCCTACAAGAAATACAGAAGTTGCACTTTAGACTTTGAATTTATTTCTTAAAATTATTATAAAAAGATTATCTGCAGACACAGAGAAATGCTGAGATACCACTTTGCTTGTTTCTTTCTGGTATGGCCCTACATATTCAGTATTACAAAGCAGCGAGGACCCACACAGCAATTGTTTTTTCATGGAACGTATTATTCCCTTAGATGACTTTAAACTATAAATGCAGTTTCAATCCCAGAATCCATTAATTTTAAAAACTATTCCTTAGAGAAATATTAATGATTATTAAGAAAAGGAAATTTCTTTATGAAACATTAGCACTAGATGGTGCTGCTCTCATTTACCTGACACTTCTCTAGCTATATTGCACTTGGCTAGAAATGAAAGAGTTGTTTTAGTTTCTTTAATTTATATTTTTTTTTTTTGGTCCCTGTGGATGTGACTGAAAAAAACAAATAATGAAAAAAATGTTGAGTAATTTCTGACCAGATTTTTCCCTTATTTGAGCAAAGCCGCATTGATTTTATGGCTGTATTTAGACTAAATCTTGAAATACTAGGACATTATTGTTATACTTTGTAATTATCAGCAATCACAGAAAAAATAATCACAATATCAAAAGTTCTTAAATTTTAATGAATTCTTATGAGAATAGATATTATAGATCAGAATATATTACGTGCACTACAACAGAGTAAAACATTCCTAAGATCTTCTCAGAACAGAGAGAAACAAAGTGAAACAAAAATCCAAAGGGCAATTTATATCTTTACATACAATTAAATAGATCCTACTTACAGAAGCTCACTATTTGGCATTCTCCTTTTTATAAATATGTAGCTTTTTATTCTAATAGTAATAAGCTACATAGAAAGTCTACTGTGCACTTAATAATGCACAACATTACAAACCTCAATTTTATTACATACAGTTTAGCCAGAATGACTTTGTCTTT